ATTCTTTTCTATTCCACCTTATATAAAAAGGTGTAAACGGCTAAACTTTCAAAAAGTCAGAACTATCACTGCCACTGAGGATGGCAGCCCACCAGCAGAGTCAGGGGAAACCTTATATTGAATGTAGCTGAAGTATTAATAAAAATACGTAAGAACCAATTCATATTTTTTAATACTACTTCCTTTTTTCTATTTTTTCAAAGAAACAGTGTCTCACTGTTGTCCAAGCTGGAGTGCAGTGGTACTATCATGGCTCACTGCAGCCTCAAGCTCCAGGGCTCAAGTCATCTTCTCACCTTAGCCTCGAAAATAGCTAGGACTACAGGCATATGCCACCATACCCATATAATTTGTTGCAGAGACAGGTTCTCACTATGTTGCACAGACTGGTCTCAAACTCCTAGTCTCTCATATTGGTCTCCCAAAACACTAGGATTACAAGCATAAGCCACTGTGCCCAACCAACCATTTTTTAAAATAATGAAACATGTTCCTTTAGGCCAGGTGCAGTGGCTCACGCCTGTAATCCCATCACTTTGGGAGGCAAGGCAGGAGGACTGTTTGAGCCCAGAAGTTTGAGACCAGACTGGGCAACATAGTGAGACCCTGTCTCTACAAAAGATCAGAAAATTAGCCAGGTGTGGTGGCACGCACCTGTAGTCTAAGCTACACAGAACGCTGAGGCAGAATGATCACCTGAGCCCAGGAGGTCGAAGCTGTGGTGAGCTGTGATCATGCCACTGCACTCTAGCCTGGGCAACAGAATAAGACCCCGACTCAAAAAAAAAACCACCCTTTAATCTGCTCGAACAGGTATCATTCAATTCAAGTAAAACATGCTGTGCTCACAAGAAACTGTGATAGGCCCAGATAGGTGTTAATTCACAAATTCCTTAACATTTTAGAGGCAGAAAGAGAAATGATCCATTAATTCCTTTTCCTATAGGAAAAGCTGTCTGAAGAAGGGCTTTTTATCTCTGTTTTTCTTCCACATACCATGGGTGGAGACAATTGGTAGTGTAGGCAGCATATCTAGAAAAGTATGAAATCTAGAAGAGAAGAACTGACACTATCACTGACATACCTCTTTAAAGCCATATGACCTCACACAAATTACTTTCTCATGCTGCCAACCAGGGAACATTTGCTGTAGTGGGCACTACACTCAAAACTTCCAAAGAAACTTAGGGTGAAGGTTGGTGGAAAGTACTCTCAGAAAAATAATTTACAGTCTGTAAATCAGAATAAGAATCTGGGTGCTTCAGTTTTAAAGATTTTGCAAATATGCTCAACAAGACACAGATATCATAAGGAAAAATAACCTATTATAAGGCTAGGCACGGTGGCTCATGCCTGTAATCCCAGCACTTTGGGAAGGAAAGGCTAGAGGACTACCCAAGTCCAGGGCTTCAAGACTAGCCCGGGCAACTTGGAGAGACCTCATCTTCACAATAAATCAAAAAGTTAACTGGGCCTGGTGACCCACCCCTATAGTTCCAAATACTTGGAAGGTTGAGGTAGAAGGATCGCCTAAGCCCAGCAGGTCAAGGCTGCAGTAGCTGTGAGAATGCCACTGTACTCCAGCCTGGGTGACAGAGTGAGACCGACTCAAAAAAAGAAAGAAAAGAAAAATAAAGCAGTATAAAGCAAAACTTATGTTAGCTGTTGTTATAACTTCATTAATTCACTTTAAGAATGACTTTGCTACTTACAATCCAGTAAGTTTCTGCCAAAATAAAAAAAATTTTGAGTTGAGTGTTCATTTTGTGGTCCAGGCAGGAGTACAGTGGTGTGATCATAGCCTTGACCTCCTGGGCACAGGCGATCCTTCTGCCTCAGCCTTGTGAGAAGCTGGGACTACAGGTGCACGCATCCACACCTGGCTAATTTTTTTTATTTTCTGTAGAGACAAGGTCTCACTATGTTGCCTCAAACTCCTGGGCTCAAGCTCCTGGGGCCAAGTAAACCTTCCGCCTCAGTCTTCCAATGTGCTGGAAACTACAGCCATGAGTCACCACACCTGGACTTCAAAGTAAACTTCTAATTGTAAAAATGGAATGCTATTCTTTGTACCAGTCAGGATTCAGCACTTATCTGGTACTTCAAATAAAATTTGACATAGTTTTTACTATTATAATAAAAAAATATCAAATACAGAATAAGGGAAATACACAACTATATTAAAACATAAAAAGAAGGTGCTAGATTTCACTGATAAACTATATGGAGAAGAAATAAACCAGAAGGCAAAAGATGAAGAAAAAATTAGTTATGAAAATCATGGATATATACTGCAGTGAAATTAATTTAGAGCCAAGAAAATTCACAGTAAAGATAATATTAGAAAGCTCAATCACACCGTGCTTGTAAAATTAAGAATGAAACTAGAGATTTTAATAAAAACTAGATAAACAAATGTCTTATTTCAAAGGAGGAGAAAAATGGCTGAGCTATAGTCAAATTTAACATACAAAGTGAAAACAACACAGACTATTTAGGAAAAGGAAAGTTATGCACAAATTCATAAAGTTCAAAAATAACTTCTACAAAGTAATTGAAAGAGTTCCTGTTGGTTTCTCTCTTCTACCTCATACCTTAATACATTATTCCTTTTTAAAAAAAAAAAAATTTATTAGACGGGCTCGGTGGCTCAGCCTGTAATCCCGTGCTTTGGGAGGCTGAGGTGAGTGGACTGCCTGAGCCCGTGGGTTTGAGACCCGCCTGGGCAACTTGGCGAGACCTCATCTCTACAATAAATCAAAAATTAGCCGGGTGTGATAGTGCGTGCCTGCAGTTCCAGCTACTTGGTAGGCTGAGGCGGAAGGATCGCCGGAGCCCAGCAGGTCAAGGCTGCGGTGGCCGGGAGCATGCCACTGCACTCCAGTCTGGGTGACAGAGTGAGACTCCAACTCAAAAAAAAAAACAACCAATTTACTGTTATCACAACAACTACTAAGAACCTATGAATTTTGCTTCATTTCCCACAACTTAAAACCAAGAGAAAAAAAATTAAGAGATCTCATAATCTCCACATGAACTTGAGGGCCTATACCCTTCTTCTTTAATGAAAAACAATCTTCTCTCTATTTAATAAGGAATGTCACAAATAGAGAAGCCAGCACTCATGGAAATTCGATCCTGGCATAAGTTTCAATACTCATTACATGTTTATAAAATCCTCACCCTTAAAAACAAGGAAAGAAAAGACAAAACCCACACAGATAGACTAATTCAATTTAATTTTATTATGAATATGAAAGTAACAACAGGAAATGGCAGCAGGGTATTTGATAAGCTCAATTAGCAGGAGGATCAAATGAAGTGATGACATGCCATTATGACCTAAGGGGTTATAGATTCAATTTTCCATCTGGCAAAATCTAGATTTCTAACACAAATGCTGACACCACCTGCTGTATGTTATTAGGCATTATCTTGAGCAATCCCTAAGCATTTTCCCTACGACAGGTACAGACTCAAGTTTTTTTTTTTTTCCATATTTCACTCTGTAATAATTGCTTCCCCATGGACAGAAATAAAAAATAAATTCTATATAATAGCTCATTCAAAACAGGCATTAAAATCCACACTAAAGCATTTATTTACCAATCATAATAGCAGGAAAAATAGCATAATTATTTTTCTTCTAAGTCATGATTGATATTGTGCCAGCATTTTCTACATCACCTAGGAATCATCCCAATCAAAAGCTCTCTTTATGTTTTTTTAATTAATAGCCTCTTGTTACTGAAATGGATAATCTAGCCATGTCTGATAAGAGTCAGATCTATAGAACTTCTTCATAAAATACAAATTCACTGCATTTTAAGTTTAACAACTCATCTACTATGTTTCCTTGATTCAGGCAATGGTAAATGCTTTTTGAAAATTTTACATACGAAATGTTGGAACTTTTCAACACATGTGTTATCAAGAATCATGCTATGAGGTTCTGAAGGTTGTATTTCTTATATATTAAATAGACAAGGGGGAACCAAAAAAAATTGGAATTTTTTTTGGGGGCGGGCCCCTTGTAGCACAGGTTTCCCCCTCTAGGTAAGTGTTCTAGGAATCCACCAGCATCAGTGTACAAGCTAAAGTCATTGTGAGTGATTGCATTTGGCTTTGGTGATTTTTTTTTTATTCTTTTAATGTGTTTGCCCTTTTCATGATGGATGACTTACAAGTGCACCTGCTCACACCTCACTGGGTGTTCAGTTTTTGTCCAAAAACAGCATGACTCCCATGCCCCATCATCCCTATTCACCAGATCTTGCCCCAGGCGACTTTTTTTCCATTTCCCTGGATGAAAAAAGTCCTCAAAGGGAAACGTTTTGCTAGTGTGGAAGAGGTGAAACAAAAAACAGCAGAAGCACTTAAAAGGCATCAAAATTGACAAGTCCAAAAACTGTTTTGAGCAGTGAAAAAGCATCTCGATAGGTGTAGTGCATCAAACGGAGAGTGTTTTGAAGGTGACTAAAGTTGAAACATGTAAGAATAAACACACAGTTTTTTAATAAATAAATTCCAGGGTGTTTTGTGTCTCCTCTTGTATAGGCCAGTGGTTAGCCAATGAATGCACAGCTCTCAGTTGGATTTGATTTGATTTGATTAGGTTTGCATCCTATGATGTTTACACACATACTCTCACATCCCACTGTTAATATTGATACAAGTTCAGATACCCAGTCTTGAGATGTCATTACTGGACAGTCAATAGCAAGGCAATAAATACTCAACTGTCTGCTTTAATACCTAATTTCCAGGTTGTACCAATACCATATTTTTCCTAATAAAATTAATTTTCTACCATCTACACCTATTTTCCTAAGCAACTTCATCAAGCTCCCAGCATTAATCCAGTTACTTTTTTTAAGTGTTTGGTAGTTATATGGGTTTCCCCGGCATTACAATTTATTTACCAGGTTATTTCATTTTCTTACTCCTAAGTATTTCAGAAATGTGAGCATCTAAAAATTCATAAGTTACTAAAAACTTACTTGACTTTTTGAATCCACACACAGTAGTCTGAGATGTAGAGATCATTTAGAATGTATGCCGGGTCATTTTCCTGAAAAATTCTGTGAATATCCAGGAGACACTTTAAAACTGCACTTTTACCTGAGGGAAAATGAAAAATCATCAAATCATTCTCAAGAAGAAAATCAAATTTTTAAGCTGAGGTAATATATTTGAAGCAGCTCAGAGTTTTAATCATTTCTTAAGAATACTTTAAATATTCCTTTAGTGCATGAAAACATATCAGTCCTATTAGGTCCAAACTCTGTTATTTCTTTCCTTAAGAATGATGGATAAGCTGGGCGCAGTGGCTCAAACCTGTAATACCAGCACTTTGGGAGCTGAGGCGAGAGAACTGCCTGAGCAACTCTGAGATCAGCCTGGACAACTTGGTGAGACCTTGCCTCCACAATAAATCAAAAAATTAGCCGGGTGTGGTAGCATGCGCCTATAATTCCTGCTACTTGGAAGGCTGAGGTAGAAAGATTGCCTGAGCTCAGCAGGCCAAGGCTGTGGTGGCTGTGAGCGTGCCACTCACTCCAGCCTGGGTGACAGAGTAAGACTCTGACTCAAAAAAAAGAAAAAGAATTATGAATAGTGGCCAGATGCAGTGGCTCACACCTATCATCCCAGCACTTTGGAAGGCCAAGGTGAGAGGACTGCCTGAGCCTACAGGTTTGAGACCAGCCTGGGCAACTTGGTGAGACCTCATCTCTACAAATAAATCAAGAAAAATTAGCCAGGTTTGGTGGCACATGCCTATAGCTCCAGCTACTTGGAGGTTGAGGCGGAAGAATTGCCTAAGCCCAGCAGGTCGAGGCTGTGGTGGCCATGAATGTGCCACTGCCCTCCAGCCTGAGCGACAGAGTGAGACATTGACTCAAAAAAAAAAAAAATTATGAATAAACATTATACTCTATTGTTACAGCTGATTAATTGTGGTTATCATAAAAATGCTAAGAAATACAACTAGGTGGATTAAATGAAAGGGAGGAAAGTTTTCCAAACAAAATGAGCATTTTAATGCACCATAATTTTAATTAATGTTCTTTCAATTCAAGCTGTCAAAATTGCATGGAAAATTATTTTAATCTTCAAACTTCTTTATTTTTTATGTCAACATTTGTCATCAAGGAATTATCTAGTACTAAACATTTTCTCACCTTAAAAATTTGAAGAAAACCCAGATTGAATGCCAAAGTATCACAGCGCTACTTCAGAAATAAGCTGAGAAAAACCACTTGAAAAAAGCCATCAAGTATTACAGTCTTGTTCAACCTAACTACTTCCTCCTAGCTGCTAAATTAACCTAATTTTAATCCAACCAAAGTCTACAAAAGGATCCTTTCACAACTCAACAACAATTCCCTAGGTGTTCCAAACTTCATGAGATTCTTAAAATTTATTAACTATGAGGCAAATTACTAACTCTAGCATAGCACCACTTCCTTTGATCTGTGAAACACAACATTTTCAGTTTAACAGTTTCATTCTTAACTTTACAGTTCTGAAACATGAAAATACAGTATACTGACTTCATGAACATAATGGATGTGCTTTCACTGGCATTTCCTATCTGAATTTTAGATCATAAGATAAAAAAATCATGAGTTAGATGATGACATCTCAAGATCCCAAAATTGCCGACACTAAATTTTTAATATAATCAACACTAGAAGTTTCAAAAGAGCAAGGACTTCTGTTTTATTTAGTGGTTAATCCCCAATACCTAGAACAGAACACTACAGCAGTACATTTTTGATTTAAGTATTATATTTTAAGAATAAATGAATGGACCCGATGCAGTGGCTTACCCTAATTCTGATGAGTTTTCCTTAAAAATGCTCCTTGTGGCCAGGCTCAGTGGCTCAGCCTGTAATCCCAGTACTTTGGGAGGCCAAGGCAAGTGAATTGCCTGAGACTGCGGGTTTGAGGCCAGTCCAGGCAATTGGCGAGACCTCATCTCTACAAAAAATCAAAAATCAGCCGGATGTGGTAGTGAGTGCCTGTAGTTCCAGCTACTTGGAAGACTGAGACAGAAGAATCGCCAGAGCCCAGCAGGTCTACGCTGGAGTGGCCATGAGTGTGCCACGGCACTCCACCTGGACGACAGAGTGAGACTCCAACTCAAAAAAAAAAAAAAAAGAAACGCTCCTTGTATCTGCCCTTTCTCCACCATTGCCTGAGCACCTGTCTTCACTCATACTCTCATCATGTTATGCGGCTTTAAGAATTGGCCGGGCTCGGTGGCTCAGCCTGTGATCCCAGCACTTTGGGAGGCCGAGGTGAGTGGATTGCCTGAGCCCATGGGTTCAAGACCTGCCTGGGCAACTTGGAGAGACCTCATCTCTACAATAAATCAAAAAATTAGCCGGGCATGGTAGCGCGCGCCTGTAGTTACAGCTATTTGGAAGGCTGAGGTGGAGGGATAGCCAGAGCCCAGCAGGTCGTGGCTGCGGTGGCTGGGAGCGGCCACTGCACTCCAGTCTGGGCGACAGAGTGAGACTCCAACTCAAAAAAAAAAAAAGAATCTTCTGCCCTATCTTTCAGATTCCAGACTCTCTCTCTTCTAACACACACTTTCATATGCATTGCTTCTGTGGAGTCCTTTCTCTGCATATGCTTTCAAGGCTTTCTATGAACTTGTTCCAGGCCTTGGCCCCACTGGGTACCCTTTCCTTCTCCACTTGACCTAGCCTGCTGTTAAGGTCTTGCTTGAGTCTTCTTCCCTTCAGAAAGTCCCAGGCTGACTTCCCTCGTCCTTACAGACCTCTACTAAGACAGCAAAGGAAAGAGGAGAAAACAAACTCAACGGATCCTCCCCACAACCTCCCCTGCCCACCTCACAGAAGGAGAACCTGAGGTTCCAGGATGGGTAAGATACATGAGGGTTCAGGATCTAAATTCCAATCTTACAGCATCTATCCAGCATCTATCCACTGTGCCATGTCTTTGACCCCATCAGTCCACATCACAACATTTTTATTTTTCTAGAGCTAAGCAGGCAATAAGGCCTTAAAAACAGAGGTCATGCCTTTAAAAAAAAAATGTTTATATATATAAACTATGTGGCTTCCTCATATGCAGAGAAAAAGAATGCCAATGGATGCTCCATTGCTAGCCTGACTGTGAAGAGAAATAAACAATCCACAGAACGCCAAGTTTATATGATTAAGTCAGGGTCAAAGCTGTAACTTATCAAAGTGGCCCAGGTTAACTATGTCAAATGATTAGTGTGGATCACCCCACCATAGGCCTGTGTCAATTACAAAGTTGAAGGGTTTCATGAAAAAAGAAGGAAATATAATCAAAATTCTCAGAGGAGAAGAAACCAAGCTTGCCACATTAGCCACGTTATGCAAAGAACCAAGGAAGAATGCACTAACCTGTAAGTTATGTTTTGAACAGTTTTAATTGCCACAGAGAGGACAATTGTCATACCATATGCCAACTGATTTCTTTCTTGCTTTCTTACTCTCTCTTTGAGGGGACGAGGGTGCAGAGGGAAGCAGTTAGATTTTTATAACTACTAACTTAAAAGTTTTAGAAGTTAATCATAGGTCTTCACCAGAAAAACAAACTCTGCCTATCAAGATCCTGTACCTTACTAACATAAACAGGTTCATAGGAAATGCAGGATCAGGAGAAAAACACTTGGATGGAGCAGATGGTTCATGTAGAAAAAATAGGAGAGTAAGCAGGTGAGTTTGATGGAAGTCAGACAGTAACGAAGAGGAGGCGAGAAATGTAGTCAGACAGGGCTAGATGGAGGGCCTAACCTCAGGTGTGGGCAGTCAGGCTAGAAGAGCTACTCCAGAGATTTTTATGAATAAGCGTACGTACGGAGTTACGGTCGCATGTTTAATGAGGAACCACAGCAGCCATTACTTAATAAAACTATATATAGCTTCATCTACCAGACATGCCTAAAGTGAGGTTGCTCTCTTGTTAAAGGCCACAGGCAAATTTACATCTTCCAGCTATCACAAAGAAATAAAAGAATACTAATGAAATGTCAAATAACAAACAAGAAAAAATGTCTCCCCAAAATTCACTTTTTTAAATTTAAAGAGAAAAAATGACATTGTATTTGCATACTCTGACCCATATTTTCTTAAAAAAAAAACAAATACACATTTTAAAAACCCTAGACATATAGACCCAACTGACTTTAAGAGTATGTGTTTCTACATTCACTGAGCAAATATGTGAGAGACTGTCACGTGCCCGGTGCTGTCCTACATGTAGGAGTACAGTTGTTTATTTATGCACTTTCCTCTTTCTTAAAATTGTCCAAAAGAGGCTGGGCTCGGTGGTTCAGCCTGTAATCCCAGCACTTTGGGAGGCCGAGGCGAGAGGATTGCCTGAGCCCGGAGGTTCGAGACCAGCCCGGGCAACTTGGCGAGACCTTGTCTCTACAATAAATAAAAAACTAGCTGGGTGCAGAAGTGCCTGCCCATAGTTCCGGCTTCTTGGAAGGCTTAGGTGGAAGGATTGCCAGAGCCCAGCAGGTCAATGATGGGGTGGCCGTGAGCATGCCACTGCACGCCAGCCTGGGCGATGGAGTGAGACTTTAACTCAAAAAAACCAAAAATTGTCCATAAGAAACATATATTACCAGTTTAACAAAAAGTAAGATATACTCAACTACACAACCAACCCCTGGAATATTGGCAAATGAATTTTTCCAATTTTAGTTCACATTTAAAATTGTTTTTATCGGTCAGATATGAGCCCATAAAAAACTCATTTTTAAATAACTGAGAAGCAGTATTGATCAGGTAATACTTAAAAATCACAGTTTTCAAGGGGAAAGTTATGCATTATCTTCAAAAGCACTGCTTTAATGATAAGCCTTACTTAAGCTATCTTCACAGTATGGTACGTAACAAATGTGGTCAGCGATAACCAGGTTATTGGCAGTCAAAGATCTAGAACAACAGGTATATTAAACCATCCTCCTCCCGACAGTATGTATCGTCACCTCGAGGTCATTCTTGATCTCTTTTGCTCTGACTACATCACCTTAGATGACTACAGCATCACAGCCAGAAGACTCACCAAGCATGTGGTGGGGGTTTTCTAAGTCTCTGTTGTACCAA